AGAGAGAGAGAGAGAGAGAGAGAGAGAGAGAGAGAGAGAGAGAGAGACCTCTTCAAGCCAAATGTTCAAAAGCAATAGTTCATTACTGTCTCATCAAGACTGTAATAATTAGGTGTTTGCTTGTGGACAAAGCCTTGGATGAGTGGAGAAATCCCATTCTTTCCCTGCAGCCAGCAGCATCAACACTGACCGGGCAAACAGCCCCAGCACGTGGGACCCTGTGGCCTGTCTCAAGAGATGTCTCCCATCACTGCTCCAGAAAGGAGCTGAGAAGGTCTGAGCCCCCCTGGATGCTGGATTTGGGGAGAGGAAACACCAGGCACTGAACCCAAACCATTGTGCTTTGCTGTGTTACGGCATCATCCCCAAAACCAGCCATGTCTTTGACTCCATGAGAAATAATCTGCAGGTAAGGTTTGCAGGGAGCCTGGGGAAGGAAGGAGAGGGGGTGCTGGATCAGGGAGGCAGGAGGAAGACCCTCCATGAACTGAAATTGGAAGGTGCAATTGCACTCCTTCCCCTTCTGAGTCAATGAGACCTCCCAGATCAGGGGTGGGAGGTGTTCTTACCATCACACTTGTGGCAAAGTAGAAAACCCCAGAGGTGTTCTCAGAGCAGAGGCATCCACTTGTCATGCTCCTGCCAGATGCATTTTCCTGGGCTTAGCAGAAAAACAGGACAGAAAACAAGCTTTTATGGAAGATGAGGATCAGTCCCACACAATTTGGGAGCTCTGCTAGCAGGGGATGTAAAGCTGTGTCCTTTCCTCTGCTCTGAGACTGGGGAGAAGAGAGTGGAACCAATTCACTTTTATGGAAGGAGGTAGAAATGAAACAGATTCATGTTTATCCTATGCCAAGTATGGGTTTTATTTTAGCCAATTAAAAATAAAGGGGGCTTTTAAGGCTGGAGATGTGTGTGTGACTCAAAAGGAAAGTGTCAGTGGGTTGCTGGGCTTGGAGAGCCTGGAAGTTTCATAAGCCATCAGTTTTCCTGCTGCTGTCACCCAGGGTCCCAAACATGTTTCTAACAGGAACGAGCCCTCCAACACTCATTGCCATCAACCTGGAGACAGGAAAACAGTCTTGGAGATTGGAAAGTGCCCTGGCAGCCCGAGCCTTTCTCCTCCCCAGCCAGCACAGCTGAAGTGTGGACACTGATCTGCCCGAAGTGGGGCAGGCAGAGCCCTCAACACACCTGAAATCCACAAACCAAACCAATCTCCAGTGGAAAAACACTTTTAATTTCCTAGTGATGAGCCCCCCTCTGTGATATGATTAAAATCCCCTCAGAGCCATTTGCTTTTCAGTTATAGAGACGCAGTGCTGAGGGGGAACAGCTGCTTCCTGCCAGGATTTGGATGGGGATCTGCCCCAGATTCCTGAGGAGCAGTGCAGATACAGGCAGGAACCATCCCTCTTTCATCCATGGGAGCCGCCGTTGGCAGCTGCTCTGAATGCTTTGATCTAGTGCCAAACCAGTGCCACCCTCCGGGCTCACTTGAGGGGCTGGAAACTGCAGCTCCAGCTCCGCAGGCTCTATCCCTGGGGAATCCCAGTGTCACAGCTGGTGCTGTCACAGCTGGTGCTGTGACAGCGTTTTTAGTGCTGGCTAAGCAGCTCTGCTCTAATTTGCTCCTTCTTCTGCTGCCTGGTCCTTGCTGTCCCTGCTGTGGGAGCAGCTCAGGCAGGGCAGAGAGGGTTCTCCCAGGAGAGAGCTGGAGGAATACCATCGGTGAGCACAGCTGGCTGGGAGAGCCTCACCCCCAGCCTCATTCTCCTCTTTCCTGGTGTTTTCCTCTCCCTGAGCCTCGCTGCCTGCTTCCCGCAGGGATTTCTTGGCTAGAGGGGGGAAAAGACTGCCACTGCCCTTCTCTACTGGCTGGTATTCCTTGGTTTTAATGCCCACAGCTTTTAGGATCGTGTCCATCTGCTTCATGTAGTCCAGGTGGCCGTTTACCTGCAGGGAACAAGAAAGAATCCTGTGAGTGGGGAACCCGTGGGGACCCAGCTCAGCCAAGTCCTTCATCCCAACAGCCACCACTGCCATGAAACTTGGGTTTGGCTCTGAGGAGGAAAGAATGAGGCTGGAAAATCAAAGAATCACGGAATCATTACGGTTGGAAAAGATATTTATGATCATCAAGTCCAGCACTGCCAAGGCCACCACTAAACCACATCCCCAAGTGCCACATCCACACGGTTTTTGAACACTTCCAGGGTTGGTGATTCCACCACTGGATAAATGCAGTTATGTATGGAACTGCCTGAACTCGCAGCAGCCTTTGGGGCACACGCTGCTGCTGGATTATTTTTCTTCTGAGACGTTTAAAAGCCTGGACCTGGCTGAGTTACAACCCCGAAATCTTGTGTGCCATGAGGGTAAGAGGAGCAGCTCTGCCACGGGGAGAGACACCCAGGTAGGAGATGATTTCTCTTAGTTCAGCTCCCTGTTCTGTGCTAAATGACATTCCTCCAGGTGCCTCAGCTCCCTTGTAAAACCCAAGATTATCTTATTTAAATTAAGATACAGTCATTAAACCTCACACAGCTACCAAGCGCATTAAGGCTCTTGGCTGGAGGCTGCACCGATCCATCCTACATAATATAAAACCAGGAGCCCAAGAGTTATGGGTCCATAAACCAAATAAAAGTCAACAGCATGTGCAAAAACCCAGATGTTTTTATTGTACGATAAGATAAAGCCTTCTGAGATGAATGTTGGAATGTATCCTTCCAGTCAGGGAGCAAGAGAACAGAAAACCTCCTCTGAAGGTGATTGTTGTTTATACTAAAGGCCACATGGTTGGAGAGGAAGAAATTCCTTCCCCATTCCAGGTGTCCTGCACAAACCAAGCACTTGATGCACCGACAGCATCCTGACATACTGCAGCATCTTTGGTAAATTCAATTTCCAGCAGTTTAAACCTCCCTGACCCACACAGAGAGCTGGCTCAGCCTCTTATTTACCCAAACCTTGCTAGTAATTAGGGAATTTCCACATCAAGGAATATGCAACACCCCGGTCCCAGGTTTCGTGCTTCCCAGCCAGGTAGATGAGTGCCCCAGAAAGGGATGGTGATGGTAAGAGCTCTTCACAGGGCTCTGCAAAGACACCAGCCATGGACCCTCTGCTCAGCTCCTGCCTGGTTCCAGAGCAATCCTTCAGCTGCCCCATCCCTGGAAGTGTCCATGGCCAGGTTGGATGGGGCTTGGAGCAACCTGGGCTAGTGGAAGGCGTCCCTGCCCATGGCAGGGGGTTTGAACTGGTGCCTTCCAATACAAACCGTTCTGGGATTCTGGGATTCATCGCTGTGCCAGCACCAGGGTTCCCAGCACAGCTCTCCCAAAACTAAAGCCAATCTTTCCTCCCAAAAATCCAAACCTCTAAGAAGTTTGCATGAAGTGGCTTTGGAGGGGGAAACATTTGGCTGCACTTAGGGTTGAATCCCTCCAGATGGCTCAACATGCTCTGAGTGTTTGGAACTGATTAGTTAACTAAAATAACCATAGAAGGACTGAGGAACTGGCTGTGGGCTGTGGACATTGTCCTCTGGAAAAATACAAATCTTTTGCTGCTCAATCAGGGTGGTTGGTGCCGAAGGAGCAAAGTGGGGATAGACAGGAAGGAGCTGGACTTGCTGGGAGTCGGGGCTGAAGGCCTTTGGTTTATTGCATTCAGAACCTCTCCTGTCACCACCATCTGCCTGCCCTGGTCAGTGCTGGGGGATTTCTCATCCTGGTGTTACTGAGCCATTAGTCAGAGGGAACAAATTTCCTCTGCCACCTTAAGGACTAGATTTTTGTATCTCCTCAGTATCCAGCAGCTTCCACTAAAACAACAGGGAATTCCTCTTCCTTGAGCACCACGATCACCGAGGGATGCAGGGTATGAGCCATTCTGAAGAGCTCATGCAGCTAAAAGAGAAGCTGAGACCTCCTGAAAATCCGTCCCTTCCTGCAGCTCTGCTAAACCTCTAGTCTCTAAATCTCTTCCAAGGAAATTCACTCTTGTCTCCAGGACAGCCCAGGAGAGGATTCCCTAAAGCTGGACCAGCACAAGCCTGAGAAGTGTAAGAGGAGGGAGGACTCTGCTGCAGTGTGACATTGAGTACTGAGCCATCAGCAAAAGAACAGCAAACAAACTGCCTTGCCACTTGCCATCCTGGTGGGAAAATCCAGCAATTCCAGATCTCTAAAGCCTGTTTCCATCTGCTATCAAAGGATGAATTCCTCCACTGGGTAGGCTGTGCAGGAGATGGGAGGGGAACATCTACAACATAGTCAATAAAAACTTTAAAGGGAAATAAAGAGGTTGTTTGAATATTTATCAGAACAAAGTCCAGGAGGAATTTCAGGATGAATGGAAGAGTGTGTTCAGCACCAGAGCAAATAGATTTCTGCTTGTTTTAAGGAAATGAAAGCAGTGGGGTGGGTTTATTGGTGTGTTTAGGTGACTTCTCCCTGCTCTATCTGACTTTATGGTTGCTTTGACTCATTGGAAAACATGAGCCAGCTGCCTCTGGCACTGCTGCTGCTGGGAGATCTCTGGAGGACAACAACTGATGGCTTTGCTCAGGGGGATCCACCAGCCAGCAGAAAGGAGCCATCAACTCAGTGTGTTTGGAAAGGTTTTCAAGTTCAAATCCACCCCAAAGTGTCAAAAAGTCACTGAGCACAATCAGCTGCGACTGTTAAATTCACAGAGAAGTGGTTTTGTTGTGTACAGAGGAGGAATCCCAGTTTCTCTCTGGTTTGAGCTATAGGAACACAGCGTGTGCTGGAGCCTGGCAAGGGGAGGGCAGAGAAAGGGCCAGGAGAAAGGAGATATTCTATATGGTCCTGGCTCTGCCATGAGCTCACGTGGGCACAGGCACGGCTCCTGCTCCATCACAACACTGACATCACTCCATATGGCAGAGATAAGACTTCACTGCTCGCTCCAGAGCAAAG